AACTACAGCAAAAACATAGGGAAAAAACTACAGAAAATTGGTCTGGGCTATGATATTTTTGGATTTAACCCCTAAAGTGCAGGCAACACAAGCAAAAATTAATAAATGGGATTACATCAAACTAAATTGCTTCTGTATAGCAAAGGAAATAATTAACAGCATAAAGAGACAAACTTGGGATTATGAATTGAGAGAAAATATTTGCAAACCATACATCTGATGAGGGGTTAATATCCAAAATATATAAGGAACTCAGACTTGAGAGTGGAACAAGATGGAGTAATAGAAGGCTCCACCAAACATCCCCTTCACAAGACACCAATTTAACAACTATCTACACAAGAAAAGCACCTTCATAAGAACCAAGGATCAGAGGGGCACATATAGTACCTGGTTTTAACTTCCTATCACTGAAAGAGGCACTGAAGAGGTAGGAAGAACAGTCTTAAATCACCAATGCCACCCCTCTCCCACCCTCCAAGCAGTGGCTGCTCGGTGTGGAGAGTGATTCTGTGTGCCAGGGAGAGGGAAAGCATAGCAATTCCGAGGCATTGAACTCAGGGCTGCCCTGTTATAGCAGAAAGCAATACCAGACCAAACTCAACTGATGCCTGTCCCCGGAGGGAACATTTAAATAAGCCCTAGCCAGAAAGGAATTATCAATCCCAGCATTAGAAACTTGAGTTTTCACAAGCCTTACTACTGCAGACTAAAGTGCCCTGGGGCTCTAAGTAAACTTAAAAGGCAGCCTAGGCCACAACGACTGCAACTCCTAGGCTAGTCATAATGCTGAACTGGGCCCAAAGCCAGTGGACTAGGGGTACATGTGACCTACTGAGACACCAGCCAGGGTAGCCAAGGGAGTGCTGGCATTGCCCCTCCCCTATCCCCAGGCTGGACAGCTCATGCATCCAAAAGATGCCCCTTCCTTCTGCTTGAGAAGAGGAGATGGACAAGTGGGGAGGACTTTGTCTTGCATTCTTGGATACCAGCTCCAGGCACAGCAGGATACGGCAGAATTATGAGGCCCCATTTCCAGGCCCTGGCTCCCAGATGACATTTCTAGGCACACCCTAGGCCAGAAGAGAACCTGCTGCCTTGAAGGGAAGCAGCCAGACCCGGCGGGATTCATCGCCAGCTAACTGAAGAGCCCTCGGGCCCTGAAAAACCAGAAGTGATACCCAATTAGTATGTCATGGGCCTTGGGTAAGACTCTGTGACTTGCTGGCTTCAGGTACAGCCACAGAGAGGTAGAGCACTAGCTGGACTTGGGGTACATGATTCCAGGATGTGGCTCTTGGATAGCATTTCTGGGCCTGCCCTGGGTCAGAGGGGTGCCCACTGCCTTGAAGGGTGAGTCCCAGGCCAGGCAGCATTAACCACAAGCTGACTGAAGAGCCCTTGGGCCTTGGAATATTAGCAGTACACTGGCAGTACTCCCTGTGGGCCTGTGGTGGTGGTGGCCATGAGGTGAGGCTCCTCTGCCTTAGAAAAGGGGAAGACAGTATGGGAAGGACTGTGTCTTGTGGTTTGAATGCCAGCTTAGTCACAGTACAGTGCAATACTAGGTAGACTTCTAAGGTTTCTTACTCTAGTTCCTGGCTCCTGGATGGTACCTCTGGACCAACCCTGAAGAGAAGAACATGGGTCTGGCTGGCTTTCTCACCTACTGATTGTAGAGCCCCAGAGCCTTGAGCAAATATAGATGGCAGTCAGGAAGTGGTTACAGCAGGCCTTGGGCAAGACCCAGTGCTGTACTGGCTTCAAGTCTTACCCAGCAAAGTCCTAGTTGTGGTGGAGTGTGTCACCAGCTTTATGTGGGTCAGAACAGAAAGAGGGACTCTGGGAGAAAGTAAAGGGACTAGAAAAAGAATCTCTGCCTGGTAATCCAGAGAATTCTTCCAGATTTTGTCCAAGACCATCAAGGTGGTACCTCTATGAGTGTGTGAAAGACCCACAGTATTACTAGGCTTGCAGGGCCCCCCCTACAGCAGATACAGCGTAGATCACAACATCCAAGTCCTTTAGAATATCTGGAAAGTCTTTCCAAGGACAAGTACAAACAGGCCCAGGCTGTAAACACTACAATAAATACAATGCCTAGACACAGAAAAACACCTACAAGTATCAAGACTATCCAGGAATACATGACCTCACCAAATGAATTAAATAAGACATCAGAGATCAATCCTGAAGAAACAGAGCTATGTGAGACAGAGAATTCAAAATAGCCATGTGGGCAGCAAGCACCCAGGTGCTGAGGCAAGAGATCGAGGGCATGAGCTGTTCCAGTATGATAAAATACATAAAATAAGAATAGTTATACTAGATACAGATCATAGATATGATTATATATGAATATCATTAATCATTAGTGTGCAGCAACTATTCTTTGTTCCAATATTATAATAATCCTCGCTCTACAATCATAACCTAGGAAAAACCGGCCATACAGAGATAGGAGTTGAGGGGACATAGTGAGAAGTGACCAGAAGACAAGAGTGTGAGCCCTCTGTCACGCCCAGACAGGGCCACTAGAAGGCTCCTTGGTCTAGTGGTAACGCCAGCATCTGGGAAGACACCCGTTGCCAAGCAGACCGTGGTCTAGCAGTAGCGTCAGTGCCAAGGAAAACACCTGCTACTGCGCAGACCAGGAAAGGGAGTCTCCCTTTCCCTGGGTGGGGGGGGGGGGGTTTCTGCATTTCTGGGTGGCAAAAGACAGACCATAAACACTATGTAAAGTCCAGAGTAAGAAAAACAGATTTCCACCTTGAGCCAGAAAGTGGGCAGAAAAACGTGGCAGTTAAGAGCAACGTTTCTCAAGTTAGTCTGAGTTTGCTTCGTGCTTTGCCACTTACTGGCTGGCAAGTTACTTAACTCCATGTCTCAGACTTCCTATCTCTAAAATGGGATCACCATATGAGCTCGTGGGGCCGTGGAGGATTAAATGAGTGACTACATACATAGCACGTGGAACACTGGCTCTTTTTAAGTACTTAATACATAGTAGCTCTTATTAATTTATAAAGAACTTCTACTAATTAGAAAATAATAGATATCCCAGTACAGATGGTCGAAATATATGAACTGCCAGCTCACCGAAGAAACAGAAAATCTACCATTTATGTATATATAGTAGCCTCACCATCAAAGAAGTTCAAACTAAATTGAGGTATTATTTTTTTCTCAAATGAGCCAAAAAAATTTAAAGTAACAACATCTGGTGTTAGTGGGCATATAGGTAAATAAACTATCTCATATACATTCTTTATTTTTCTTTTTTTAGTATAAAATAGAGATGGGGTCTTACTATGTTGCCCAGGCCAGTCTTAAACTCCTGGGCTCAAGTGATCCTCCCTCCTCCACCTCCCAAAGTACTGAGATTGCAGGTATGAGCCACTGTACCTGGCCTCATATATACTCTTGATGAAGGTATAGTTACCATCTTTTAAATTACACATTATCAGTTTCTATTACAATTTATCCTTTAACATTGAAGTTTCATTTATAAAAATTTATCATTCAAGTATGTGTGTGCGTGTGTGTACACAAAAGTGTTTCTTACAACAGTGATACAATAGCAACCAAAGCTAAAGCAACTTAATATCCATTAATAGGATTCTTAACCATAAAGCCTTTTTAAAAAGTATAGCTATCTTTATACCTACTAATTTTAAGTGAATAAAGCAAGTTGCACAACAGTATGTGTACATTTTAAACATACATGCTTACATTAGCATAGGGAAAAGTCTGGAAGGATCTATATCAAATTGTTGACAATAGTTACGCTTTGAGAAGTGATGTGGAGGTAGGACAGGAAGGGAAAATTCAGAGTGACATTTGCTTTTTTCTTTTATGCATTTCTGTAATGTGCAAGTATTTTTTTTTCAAATAATCATGGTCTATTTTTGTAATTGAAAATAATGCAAACCTGGGACGAAGAAGCTATAATAAGATAAGCTTTTAAAAACAAACAATGAAAAGTAGTAAAAATAAGAATAAAACTATATAAAGTAAAAATATCCACCATACAAACAAAAAGGAAAAAAAAAAAAAAAAAGAAGTGAAAACTGCAATAGGGTTTTGGTTGTAGGAAATCCCTTCCCATGGTGAGGTATTGAGACTTTCTGGGCAGGATAAGGCTACATTTGAAAAATGATGGCAAAGCCAGTGCCTGAGATGGAAGAGTCCAGTCCATGGCTACTGTGATAATTCTGAAGAACAAGAACCTTGGTCTAGGTCCCACTGAGACCTCATCCCGTTCTAGAATTCTTTGGACCTGAATGATGACCTTATAGAGAGCAAAATACCAAGAATTCAGAAGCAGGCTATGTGAGCACTCAAAAGAAGGGAATTAGGGGGCATGGGCAATCCCAAACTCTGAAGTCAATTTTTCAAGAAAACAGGGAATGCTACTTTACATCAGCCTGAGATGCCATTAAGGATAGTGCTATAGTTTGGATATTTAACTCTCTAAACCTTATGTTGAAATTGGATCCTCAGTGTTGCAGCTGGGGACTAGTAGGAGGTGTTTGGGTCATAGGGATGATCCCGCATGAATGTCATGGTGCTGTCTTTGTAGTAATGAGTGAGTTCTTACTCGACTAGTTCCCAGGAGAGCTGGTCATTATAAAGAGCCTGGCATCTCCCCTGACGTCTCTTTGCCTTCCTCCCTCACCGTGTGATCTCTGTACATGCCAGCTCCCCTTCCCCTTCTCCATGATGGAAACAGCCTTAGGCCCTCACCAGAAGCAGATGCTGGTGCCCTGTTTCTTGTACAGCCTGCATAACTGCGAGCCCAATAAACCTCTTTTCTTTATAAATTACCCAGCCTCAGGTATTCCTTTATAGCAACACAAACGGACTAAGATAAGTATAGATGGCATCAGGGTGGGTACCTGTGGCTCTGTCCTCCACACTGACCGTTCAGGGCCCCCAGCAGAACTCACTCTGTTCACCCTAGACATCCCTGGGCAATCCCACAGGGCCCAGAGCCTCACCGAAAGTGTTGAATTCTCCACACCATGTGAGGTCATCAGCAAGGTAGCCTAGCAGCATGTCCTCCAGGGTGAACATGTCCCGCTGGACCTGTGTGAACTGATGGGCCAGATCTTTTATTCTGCTCCAAAGAAGAGTCTAAGGAAGAATAAATACAATCTATTACTGAGATCAACTTAGCATGACAAAACAAAATAAATCCATGGTTTTGTAATGAAAAGAGAACAGAGCATATCAAAGTAAATCACCCATAGTATGAATAAGAATTGTTGTATGCATCAATGATTTCTGAGTGCACGAGAGTGTAGGGGAGAGAGAGAGAGTGTGGGTGTGCGTGTGTGTGTGTGCGCGTGTGTTCTAGGTCATAATGTAAATGTTTATTTTTATTCTAGGTTGCAGTCAAAAAAGTCTGAAAGTCACTGATCAAAATCTTATAATCAACATGGGATCACATCTGGAGGTGGCATTAGAGAGTTACAATATTCCTAAGCTTATCTCCAAAAAAACTTTGTCTACATGCTGTTTTCAAGAAGATGTGCTCTTTGATTCTTAAAGAACTATATAACCCCTTCCAAATTCCCTAAATATTCCCTACCCCTACCAAAAAAAAAAAAAAATACAATAGATTTTTTGTATTTAAGGGTTCCTCTTAAAGGTACAGAGAGTCAAAGTTCAGAATAATATTCTGTTTTATGAATCTATTTTTTTATTTTTATTTTTATAAGTTCCAGGGTACACATGCAGGAGGTACAGGTTTGTTACATAGGTAAATATGTGCCATGGGTTTGCTGCACCTATTAACCCATCACCTAGGTATTAAGCCCAGTATGCATTAGTTATTTTTCCTAATGTTCTCACTCCCCTCACCCCAACCCCAACAAGCTGCAGTGTGTGTTTTTCCCCTCCCAGTGTCCATGTGTTCTCATTGTTCAGCTCCCACTTATAAGTGAGAACATGTGGTGCTTGCATGTTCCTGTGTTAGTTTGCTGAAGATATGGCTTCTGGCTCCATCCATGTCCCTACAAAGGACATGATTTTATTCCTTTTTATGGCTGCATAATATTCCATGGTGTATACGTACCACATTTTCTTTATCCAGCCTATCATTGATGGGCATTTGGGTTGATTCCACATCTTTGCCATTGTGTGAATGGCATTGCAATGAACATATGCGTGCATGTATCTTTATAACAGAATGATTTTTATTCCTTTGGGTATATACCCAGTAATGGGATTACTGGGTCAAATGGTATTTCTGGTTCTAGATCTTTGAGGAATTGCCACACTGTCTTCCACAATGGTTGAACTAATTTACATTCCCACCAACAATGTAAAAGCATTTTTATCTCTCCACAATCTCACCAGCATCTGTTGTTTCTTGACTTTTCAATAATGCCATTCTGACTGGCATGATATCGTGGTTTTGATTTGCATTTCTCTAATGACTAGTGATATTGAGCTTTTTTCATATGTTGTTGGCCACATGAATGTCTTCTTTTGAGTCTGTTCACGTCCTTTGCCTACTTTTTGATGGTGCTGTTTATTTTTTTCTTGTAAATTTGTTTAAGTTCTTTGTAAATTCTGGATGTTAGACTTTTGTCAGATGGATAGATCGCAAAACTCTTCTCCCATTCTGTAGGTTTTCTTTTCACTCTGATGATAGTTTATTTTGCTGTGCAGAAGCACTTTAATTAGATCCCATTTGTCAATTTTTGCTTTTGTTACAACTGCATTTGGCAATTTCATAATGAAATCTTTGCCTGTGCCTATGTCCTGAATAGTATTGCGTAGATTTTCTTCTAAGGTTTTTATAGTTTTGGGTTATACATTTAAGTCTCTAATTCATCTTAATTTTTTTATGAGTTGCAAGGAAGGGGTCCAGTCTCAATTGTCTGCATATGGCTAAATAGTTCTCAAGCACCAGTTATTAAATAGGGAATACTTTCCCCATTGCTTGCTTTCATCAGGTTTGTCAAAGATCAGACAGCTGTATATGTGCAGTTTTATTTCCGAGATCTCTACTCTGTTCTATTGGTCTACGTGTTTATTTTTGTACCAGTACCATGCTATTTTGGTGTCTGTAGCCTTGTAGTACAGTTTGATGTTGCGTAGTATGATGCCTCCAGCTTTATTCTTTTTGCTTAGGATTGTCTTGGCTATATGAGCTTTTTTTGGTTCCATATAAATTTTAAAATAGTTTCTTCTAATTCTGTGAAGAATGTCAATCGTAGTTTAAAGGGAATAGCATTGAATCTATAAATTACTTTGGGCAGTATGGCCATTTTCACAATATTGATGCTTCCTATCCATGAGGATGGAATGTTTTTCCATTTGTTTGTGTCCTATCTGACTTCCTTGAGCAGTGGATTGCAGTTGTCCACGAAGAGGTCCTTCACTTCCCTTGTTAGCTGTATTCCTAGGTATTTTATTCCCTTTGTGAATGGGAGTTCATTCATGATTTGGCTCTCTGCCTGTGTGTTGGTGGATAGGAATGCTTGTGATTTTTGCACATTGATTTTGTATCCTGAGACTTTGCTGAAGTTGCTTATCAGCTTAAAAAGCTTTGGGGCTGAAAACCGGCACAAGACAAGGATGCCCTCTCTCACCACTCCTATTCAACATAGTATTGGATGTTCTGACTAGGGCAATCGGGCAAGAGAAAGAAATAAAGTCTATTCAAATAGGAAGAAAGGAAATAAAATTGTCTTTGTTTGCAGATGACATGTTTTCTAGTTATAGGATCATGAGTTTGCCAGTATTTTATTGAGAATTTTCACATTGATGTTCTTCAGGATATTGGCCTGAAATTTTCTTTTCTTGTTTTATCTCTGCCAGGTTTTGGTATCAGGATGATGCTAGTCTCATAAAATGAGTTAGGGAGGGGTCCTTCCTTTTCAATTATTTGGAATAGTTTCAGAAGAAAGGGTATTAGCTCTTCTTTGTAACTCTGGTAGAATTCAGGTGTAAATCTGTCTGGTCCTGAGCTTTTTTTTTTTTTCTGGTTGGTATTTATTACTGCCTCAACTGTAGAATTTGTTATTGGTGTATTTAGGGACTCAACTTCTTCCTGGTTCAGTCTTGGGAGGGTGTATGTATCCAGAAATCTATTCATTTCTTCTAGATTTTCTAGTTTATTTGCATAGAGGTATTTATAGTATTATCTGATGGTTGTTTGTATTTCTGTGGGATCAGTGGTGATATCCCCTTTATCATTTTATTGTATCCATCTGATTCTTCTCTCTTTTCTTTTTTATTAGTCTAGCTAGTCATCTATCTATTTTATTTTTTTTTTCAAAAAACCACCTCCTGCATTCATTTATTTTTTGAAGGGATTTTTGTGTCTCTATCTCCTTCAGTTCTGCTCTGAGCTTGGTTATTTCTTGTCTTCTGCTAGCTTTGGGATTTGTTTTCTCTTGGTTCTCTAGCTCTTTTAGTTGTGACGTTAGGATGTCGATTTGATATCTTCCTAGCTTTTTGATGTGGGCATTTAGTGCTATAAATTTCTCTCTTAACACTGCTTTTATTGCATCCCAGAGATTCTGATACATGGTCTTTTTCGTATTAATTTCAAAGAACTTGTTAATTTCTGGCTTAATTTTATTATTTACCCAGGAGTCATTCAGGAGCAGGTTGTTCAATTTCCATGTAATTGGTTTTCAGTGAGTTTCTTAATCTTGAGTTCTAATTTGATTGTGCTGTGGTCTGTGAGACTGTTACGATTTTAGTTCTTCTGCATTTGCTGAGAAGTAATTTACTTCCAATTGTGTGATCAATTTTAGAGTAGATGCCATGTGGCACCAAGAGTAATGTATATTCTGTTGCTTTGTCATGGAGAGTTTGGTAGATTATCTATCAGGTCCACTTGATCCTGAGCTGAGCTCAGGTCGTGAATATCTTTGTTAATTTTCTGTCTTGATGATCTGTCTAATACTGACAGTGGGGTGTTAAATTTTCCCACTATTATTGTGTGGGTATCTAAGTCTCTTTGTAGGTCTCTAAGAACTTGTTTTATGAATCTCAGTGTTCCTATATTGGGTGCATACATGTTTAAGATTATTCTCTCTCTTTGTTGAATTCACCCCTTTATCATTATGTAATACCGTTTTTTATTTTTTGATTTTTGTTGGTTTAAAGTCTGTTTTGTCATAAACTAGGATTGCAACCCCTGCTTTTTCCATTTTCCATTTGCTTTGTAAATATTCCTCCATCCCTTTATTTTGAGTCTATGTGTGTCTTTGCATGTGAGATGGGTCTCTTGTATACAGCACACCAATTGATCTTGACTATCCAGCTTGTCATTCTATGTCTTTTAATTGGGACATTTAGCCCATTTACACTTAAGGCTAATTTTGTTATGTGTGAATTTGATCCAGTTATCATGATGCTAGCTGGTTATTTTGAAGACTTGTTTATGTAGTTGCTTCATAGTGTCATTGGTCTGTGTACTTCGGTGTGTTTCTGTAGTGGATGATAATGGTTTTTCCTTTCCATATTTAGTGCTTCCTTCAGGAGCTCTTGCAAGGCAGGACTGGTGGTGATGAATTCCCTTACCTTTTGCTTGTCTGAAAAAGATTTTATTTCTCCTTCATTTATGAAGCTTAGTTTGGTTAGATACGAAATTCAAGGTTGGAAATTATTTTCTTTAAGAATGTTGAATTTTGGCCCCCAGTCTCTTCTGGTTTGTAGGGTTTCTGCTGAGAGGTCTGCTGTTTGTCTAATGGGCTTCCCTATATAGGTGACCTGCAGAATCTGATGATTATGTGTCTTGGGGTTGATCTTCTCATGGAGTATCTTACTGGGGTCCTCTGGATTTCCTGAATTTGAATGTTGGCCTGTCTTGCTAGGTTGAAGAAGTTCTCCTGGATGATGTCCTGAAGTGTTTTTTCCAACTTGGTTCCATTCTTCCTGTCTCTTTCAGGTACCCCCAATCAGTCATAGGTTCTTTTTACATAATCCCATAGTTCTCAGAGGTTTCGTTCATTCCTTTTCATTCTTTTTTGTCTAATCTTGTCTGCCTGTCTTATTTCAGCAAGATAGTCTTCAAGCTCTGATATCCTTTCTTCCGTTTGATCTATTCAGTTATTGATAGTTGTGTTTGCATCGTGAAGTTCCCATGTTGGAACTTTTTCAGCTCCATCAGGTCATTTATGTTCCTCTCTAAACTGGTTATTCTCTTTAACAGCTCCTGTGTTTTATCATGGTTCTTAGCTTCTTTGCAATGGGTATGAACATACACCTTTAGCTCAGTGAATTTCATTATTACGCATCTTCTGAAGTCTACTTCTGTCAATTCATCCATCTCAGCCTCAGCCCAGGTCTTTTTTTTTAACATTGGGTAAATGTAGCTAGTATCTTTAGTTTTTTTATACTTTAAGTTCTGGGTTACATGTGCAGAATGTGCAGTTTTATTACATAGGTATACATATGTCATGGTGGTTTGCTGCACCCATCAACCCATCATCTACATTAGGTATTTCTCCCTAATGTTATCCCTCACCTAGTTCCCCTCTCCAACATGCCCTGTTGTGTGATGTTCCCCTCCCTGTATCCATGTGTTCTCATTGTTCAACTCCCACTTATGAGTGAGAACATGTGGTCTTTGGTTTTCTGATCTTGTGATAGTTTGCTGAGAATGATGGTTTCCAGCTTCATCCATGTCCCTGCAAAGGACATGAACTCATTCTTTTTTATGGGTCTCAGCCGAGTTCTATGCCCTTGTTGGAGATGTGTTAAAATCATCTGGAGGAGAAGGGGCACACTGGTTTTTTGAGTTTTCAGCATTTTTGTACTGATTCTTTCTCATCTTCATGTATTTATCTACCTTTGATCTTTGAGGCTACTGACCTTTGGGTGGGTTTTTGTGGGGTCTTTTTCATTGATGTTGTTGCTTTCTGTTTTTTCTTTTAGCAGTCAGACCCTTTCTTCCATAGGGCTGCTGCAGTGTGCAGGGGTTCCACTCCAGACCCTATTCACCTGGGTTCCTCCCACACCTGAAAGTATCACCAGTGGAGGCTACAGAACAGCAAAGATGACAGCCTGCTCCTTCTTCTAAAAGCTTCATTCCAGAGGGGTACCGGCCTGATGCCAGCCAGAGCTCTCCTGTATGATGTGTCTGTCAACCCCTGTTGGGCAGTCTCCCCCAGTAAGGAGACACAGGGGTCAGGGATTGACTTGAGGAGGCAATGTGTCCTTTAGCAGAGTTGGTGTGCTGTGCTAGGAGAATCCCTTTTGTCAGGATCAGCTGCTGTCTTCAGAGTCGGCAGGCAGGAATGATTAAATCCACTGAAGATGCGCCCACAGCCGCCCCTTCTGCCAGGTGCTCTGTCCCAGGGAGATGGAGGTTTTGTCTGCAAGCCCCTGACTGGGGTTGTTACCTTTCCTTCAGAGATGCTCTGCCCAGTGAGGAGGAATCTAGAGAAGCAGTCTGGCCACAGCCACGTTGCCACACCCAGTCCAGACTTCCCAGCCTCCTTAGCACTATCAGGGGAAAACTGCCTATTAAAGCCTCAGTAATGGTGGATGCTGCTCCCCCACCCAGCTCCATCATCCCAGGTCAACTTCAGACTGCTGTGCCAGCAGCAAGAATTTCAAGCCAGTGGTTCTTAGCTTGCTGGGCTCTGTAGGAGTGAGACCTGCTGAGCGAGACCACTTGGATCCCTGGCTTCAGCCTCCTTTCCAGGGGAGTAAACAGTGCTGTCCCACTGGGGTTCCAGGCACCACTGGGGTTCCAGGCACCGCTGAGGTAGGAAAAACACTCCTGCACCTAGCTTGGTGTCTGCCCAAACAGCAGCTCAGTTTTGTGCCTGAAATCCAGGGCCCTGGTGGTGTAGACACATGAGGAAACCTCCTGATCTCAGATGGAAATGCAGAAATCACCCACCTTCTGCATCGGTCTCACTGGGAGCTGCAGACTGGAGCTGTTCCTATTCAGCCATCTTGGCTCCTCCCCCTATTCATTCTTAATGGGAGTCAGTGAAGGATACTGGTTTAAAGCATGGGACTGAAAACCCCAGTCCTCATTGAAGCCCAGCATCATCATCACTTATCACATGTTTCACCTTGAGCAACCAAAACATCACTAAGCCCCACTTTCTACACCTGTAAAATGGTAACGATAATGACTGAAATAAACTACTAGGGTGCTAGGGAAATTAACTGAGATAAATGCAAGTAAATTGCTTAGCATACTATCCATCGCATAGTCACTTATTTGACAAATGTCAGCCTGGGTTATTATTTGCCAAACACCTTTTCTGCATAGGGCATCATGCCTGGTGAATGGAGAAGTTTCACAATGACTCCAGCTCACTAACAATGGAATGAGAGGCTGAAATTTCTGGGTGGTTTTAAGGGCTTCACAAAGAAAATTTTAGGCATGCGGAATTTTGCCTTAAACATCGACTATAGAAAAGGTGCACTCTGATAGACCTTTTCCAATATAACCAATGTATTAGAATCCAGGCCTCTGTGGCTCCAAGTCTCATACTACTTACATTTAAACTGGTCACTTTCAAGCCTGCCACACTTGGGCAACACTGGTCACCTAAACACACCAAGCTTCAGTTTTCTCACTGGTAAAATGGGGATGCTGACACCTGAACTGCCCATTCCACAGAATGGCTATGAAGGCCTAAGAAGATAAGGATTAGGAGAGTCTTTTGTAAGCAAGAAAAAGAAAAAAAGCACTCTGCAAGTGTAATTTGGCATTGTTATTATTACTACTACTACTATCATTAAATCAGGGGAAAGTTTTGTTATTATATAGGTTGTGTTAATTTGTTTGTTTGAGTTGGGTTTGGTGTTAGGTTTTTTCTGCCTAGTTTTTGGCCAAAGCCCCTTTCCTATTTCTGTATCCCCATTTATCTTATCCCCATTTATCTCTTATCTCCCTTCTCCAGAAGTACTAAATCTTGATTATATCATGGCCCCTCAATGGCCTGCAAATTCCATTCCTACCAACCACACTCACACTATAATGTATGGATTTTTCCTCTTCCTTCATTCTAATCAAAATTTGGACCCATGAATTTTTACCACTGGCTTTTATCCCCAGTTTTAAAATCAATGGCATACCCCCAATTACCTTGTTGCAAGGTACGGTCTGAGTTCCCAACTTCACTAGTGGCTGATAGTCTTCTTCTGTAATGTTGCAAGGATATTTTGAAATAAATGCACCCTTGAATGCATCCCATACACTTTGGCAGTCTACATGTCTGTGAGATAAAACACAGAAAATAAAACATAAATTATTCTATTTAAAAAATATTTTTGGAGCATAATTATTTTTTAGAATCTCATTTAGGAAGCATCTATCATATGCCAGATAGTCCATACCTATCATCTCATCTCACATGTGGTCTACCAGGGGTACAAAGAGAAGCTGATACCATTCCTTCTGACACTATTCCAAATAATAGAAAAACAGGGACTCCTCCATAAGTCATTTTATGAGGCCAGTATCATCCTGATACTGAAACCTGGCAGAGACACAACAAAAAAGAAAATTTCAGTCCAATATCCCTGATGAACATCAATGCAAAAATCCTCACTAAAATACTGACAAACTGAATCCAGCAGCACATCAAAAAGCTTATCTACCATGATCAAGTAGGCTTCATCTCTGGTATGCAAGTCTGGTTCAACATACACAAATCAATAAACATAATCCATCACATAAACAGAACCAATGACAAAAACCACATGATTATCTCAATAGATGCAGAAAAGTCCTTCAATAAAATTCAACATCCCTTCAGGCTAAAAACTCTCCATAAACTAGGTATCGATGGAACATATCTCAAAATAATAAGAGCTATTTCTGACAAACCCATAGCCCATATCATACTAAATGGGCAAAAGCTGGAAGCATTCCCATTGAAAAGTGGTGTAAGACAAGGATGCCCTCTCTCACCACTCCTATTCAACATAATATTGAAGTTCTGGCCAGAGCAATCAGACAAAATAAATAAATACAGGGTACTCATATAGGAAGAGAGAAAGTCAAATTGTCTCTGTGTGCAGACAACATGATTGTATATTTAGGAAACCCCATCATCTCAGTACAAAACCTCCTTAAGCTGAAAAGCAACTTCAGCAAAGTCTCAGGATATAAAATCAGTGTGCAAAAATCACAAGCATTCCTATACACCAAAAATAGACAAGCAGAGAGCCAAATTATGAGTGAACACCCATTCAGAATTGCTACAAAGAGAATAAAATACCTAGGAATATAACTTATAAGAGACATAAAGGACCTCTTCAAGGAGAACTACAAACCTCTTATGGAAATAAGAAAGGAAACAAACAAATAGAAAAAAAAATCCATGCTCATGGATAGAAAGAATAAATATCGTGAAAATGGCCATACTGCCCAAAGTAATTTATAGATTCAATGCCATTCCCATCAAGCTACCATTGACTTTCTTCATAGAATTAGAAAAAAACTACTTTAAATTTCCTATGGAACCAAAAAAGAGTCCATATAGCCAAGACAATTCTAAGCAAAAAGAACAAAGCCAGAGGCATCACATTACCTGACTACAAAGTGTACTACAAGACTACAGTAATCAAAACAGTATGGTACCAGTACAAAAACAGATATATAGACCAATGGAACAGAATGGAGGCCTTGGCCATGCATAGTGGCTCATGCCTGTAATCCCGGCACTTTGGGAGGCCAAGGCGGGCAGATCACAGGTAAGGAGTTCAAGACCAGCCTGACCAAAAACTGGACCCCTTCCTTACACCTTATACAAAAATTAACTCAAGATGGATTAAAGACTTAAATGTAAAACCTAAAACCATAAAAACCCTAGAAGAAAACCTATGCAATACCATTCAGGACATAGGCATGGGCAAAGACTTCATGACTAAAACACCAAAAGCAATTGCCACAAAAGCCAAAGTTGACAAATGGGATCTAATTAAACTAAAGAGCTTCTGCACACCAAAAGAAACTATCATCAGAGTGAACAAGCAACTGACAGAATGGGAGAAAAATTTTGCAATCTATCCATCTGACAAAGGTCTAATATTCAGAATCTACAAGGAACTTAAACAAATTTACAAGAAAAAAATAACCCCATCAAAAAGTGGGCAAAGGTTGTTAACAGATGCTTCTCAAAAGAAGACATTTATGCAGCCAACAAACATATGAAAAAAACCTTATCATCACTGGTCATTAGAGAAATGCAAATCAAAACCACAATGGATACCATCTCATGCCAGTTAGAATGATGATCATTAAAAACTCAGGAAAAAACCAATGCTGATGAGGCTATGGAGAAATAGGAATGCTTTTACACTCTTGGTGGGAGTGTGAATTAGTTCAACCACTGTGGAAGACAGTGTGGCGATTCCTCAAGGATCTAGAACCAGAAATACCATTTGACCCAGCAATCCCATTATTGGGTATATACCCAAAGGAGTATAAATCATTCTACTATAAAGACACATCCACACGTATGTTTATTGAAGCACTATTTACAAGACTTATGGGCATTATGAGCCAACCCAAATGCCCATAAATGATAGACTGAATAAAGAAAATGTGGCACACATACACCATGGAATACATAAAAAAGAATGAGTTTATGTCCTTTGCAGGGACATGGATGAAGCTGGAAGCCATCATTCTCAGCTAAAAAACACAGGAACAGAAAACCAAACACTGCATGTTCTCACTCATAAGTTGGAGTTGAACAGTGAGAACACATGGACACAGGGAGGGGAACAACACACACTGGGACCTATTTGGGGGTTGGGGGCAATGGGAGGGAGAGCATTAGGACAAATACCTAATGCATGTGGGGCTTAAAACCTAGATGATGGGTTGATAGGTGCAGCAAATCACCATGGCACATGTATACCTATGTAACAAACCTGCACGTTCTGCACATGTATCCCAGAACTTAAAGTAAACTTTAAAAAAAGATAACTCAAAAATCAATCAATTTAATATGCTGTATTTTGTAGAATAAATGACAAAAACCATATGATCATCTCTAAAGAGACACACAAAAATATTAGACAAAATCCAACACTCTTCTGATGAAAAAAAAAGTGAGAAAATTACAAATAAAATGAAATTTCCTCAACCTGATAAAATTCATCTATTAAACCCCACAGCTAACATTATACATATGGCAAAAGACTGGATGCTCCCCCTTAAGATCAAGTACAGTCCAAAGATGTCTGATTTCATTACTTATATTCAACATTGTATTGGAGTTCTAGCCAAGGAATTTAGGTGAGAAAAAGAAACTAAACTCATCCAGATTAGAAAGGAAGAAGTAAACCTATCCCCTTAATGGATGACATGATACTGTATATAGAAAATTCTAAGAAATCCACAAAAAGGAAACTGTTAGAACGAATGAACATGTTCAGCAAGGTTTCAGGTTACAAAATCAGTATACAAAAGTCAATTGCATTTCTATATACTATCAATGAAAAATATAAAATTGAAATTTAAAAAATTCCATTCATAATAGCAGCAAAACAACTAATATTCTCAGGAGTAAATATAACAAAGAACTGTAGGACGGGAATGCTGAAAAATCCAGAACACTGTTAAAAAGTAAAGAAGACCTGAAAGAATGGAAAAACATTCTACATTCATGGATCAGAAGACTTAAGACTTAGTATTTTTTTGTTTGTTTTTTGGTTTTTGTTTTTGAGACGGAATCTCACCCTGTTGCCCAGGCTGGAGTGCAATGGCGCAATCTTGGCTCACTGCAACCTCCGCCTCCCGGGTTCAAACAATTCTCCTGCCTCAGCCTCCTGAGTAGCTGCGATTACAGGCACACACCACCATGCCTAGTTTTTTATTGTTTTTTTTTTTTAGTAGAAACGGGGTTTTACCATGTTAGCCAGGCTGGTCTCGAACTCCTGACCTCGTGATCCACCCGCCTCGGCCTCCCAAAGTGCTGGGATTAGAGGCGTGAGCCACTGCGCCCGGCCAGAAGACTTAATATTGTTAAGATGACAGTATTCTCTAAGCTGATTTACAGCTTCGATGGAATAGGCATAAAAATCCCAGTTCCCTCTTTTGCAGATAGTGACAGTTTATCCTAAAATTCATATGGAAATGTAAGGAACACAGAAGAGCCAAAAATCCTGAAAAAGAAGACCAAAGCTGAAGAGACACATACTTCCTGATTTCAAAACTTACTACAATGCTCGTAATCAAGACAATTGGTACTGGCATAATGATGTAATCACAGGACCAGTTCTAACTGGCCCTACTCTGTTGATAATAGTATGTCAAGTTATTCTACAGGCACAAAGCCAAAAAGTTGTAAGTCATGCAGCCGAAGAATGCAGAAAAGAAGACGTCAACCTTGAATAACACCCAGAAGAAAAATTCCTCTCCTCCCTACCACAGAAGCAAATGGTCAAGACATGACTGGAACCTGAGGGCCCAAACATTTTTAAAAGCAAGAAACCTGAGCCCAAGCATGTCCAGTGTTAAGACCCCTTACCAAACCTTACCATAAATGGTCCTGTTTAAAGTCCTTCTAATCGAAACCTGCCCCACCAGTGCTTCTGCATACTAGTTTACCCTCCCTAACCCGTAAAACTTGTCCCAGATCCCAGATGGGGAGACAGATTTGAACTTTGCCTCCTAATTCCTTGCAAGCCAACCTCACGATAAAGGTTTTGCTTTTCTCAAAAACCAGTTCCATAATATTGGCTTCTCTATCTGTCAGGCAGCAAGCACATTGTTCAGTAACAATGACAGAAATATAGATCAATGGAATAAAGAGTCCAGAAATAAAGTCTTAGAGTTATCATCAATTAATTTTAGACAAGAGTGCCAAGGCCATTCAATGGGGGAAAAAAATCACTTTTCAACAAATGGTGCAGGGACAACAAGATATCCACATACAAAAGAATAAATTAGGACCCCTATTTTACACCACATACAAAAATTGTCTCAAAATGAATGAAAGACCTAAGTATGAGAGGTAAAATTTAAAAATTCTTAGAGGCAAACATAGAATAAAGAAATTGTCATAACCTTAGATTAGGTAATTATTTCTTAAATATGATATCAAAAGCACAGCAACAAAAGAAAAAATATATAAACTACACTTTATCAAAATTAAAATCCCATGTTCTTCAAAGGACACCATCAAGAAAGTGAAAATAAAATTCACAGAATGGATTAAAATATTTGCAAATATTATTTATGTTTCAGGACTTGCATCCA